CCTTCTAAAACAGAGCAATGGGCAACCATGATCCTCCACCACCTCTCCCACCCCTCCAACCAAAACAAAAACCTCCACTTCTTCATCCCCTCCGGCGGTAATGCAGGCCTAGCCGCCACCACCGCCGCCCGCGCCCTCTCCTACCCCTGCACCGTCGCCGTGCCCGTCTACACAAAGCCAATCATGCTCCAGCGGCTCAGAGCGGAGGGTGCCATCGTCGTTCCGCACGGTAATAACATCGATGAAGCCGCGGCGCATATGCGGAATGTGCTGATGGAGGAGATGAGGGGGCAGATGGGCGATGACGGCAGGGAGGTCGTGGCCGTCGAGTTACATCCGTTTGACCATGAGGCGGCGTGGGAGGGGGTCAGTTCGCTTGTGGATGAACTGAAGGCGCAGGTACCCGCGGAGGAAGGGGAGGGGCCCCGATGCTTCCCTGTAGATGCGGTTGTTTGCAGTGTTGGTGGTGGCGGGCTGATGAATGGGATTATCCAGGGGATTGAGAGGCAGTTGCGCATGGCGGAGGACAGAGGGGTTGACAACCCGAACCAAGGCAAGGATGTGCAGATCCTCGCGCTGGAGACGAAGGGGGCAGAGTCACTTGCCAAGGCCGTTGAGATGGGGGAGCTCGTTTCGCTGAAGGGCGTTTCGTCCATGGCGACGTCGTTGGCTGCTCTTCGGGTTGCGGAGAGGACGTTGCAGAATGTCCTGAACCCGCCGGCCGGTGTTAAGGTGCACAGTCGCGTTATGGATGATGCCGAGGCGGCGAAGGGGGTGTTGAGGCTTGTCGATGAGCACCGGTTGCTGGTTGAATTGGCTTGTGGGGTGTGCGTGGAGGCTGTGGTTGCGGGTGGGCAGACCCACGGGTTAAAAGGTCATGCCAACACGGGACATGTTGATGAGCGGTTGGAATTGTCGTCGAAGCTGGCGCAGATCATTCCTGGATTCGGGCCGCAGAGTCGTGTGGTTGTGATTGTTTGTGGAGGGAGCAATATTTCTCTCGAGACGGCGGTAGAATACAGGGAGCGACTTAATAATGGATGGAGGACCGGCAATGAGTGAGGAGGATATTTGCTCTGTAGAATAATAATTGGGAAAATTTTGGGGCGCGCGGGGAAACTGGGAAAATATCTGGGCGTTTTTGTTCTTTTGCTTTTCATGTTTCTTTCCAACTTCTTCCAACATTTTTTTTTTTTTTTTTTGAGTATGGAAAAGTGCAGTTTCTTCCAAAAGGACCCAAATAATAAATTAAGTGACACCTAGGTAGGGATTCAGGTTAAAAAGCTGCTTGGGCTAAAGGGGGAAAAGATAAGTTGCAATGTCACTTTCGTCATTGACCGTAGTTCCGTTCCTCAGTTTAGAATGCCGTGACATTTCTTCCCATGATTAGACGTAATAAGGCGTTTTTGGATGCCCCTCCCCTCCAGGTGAAAACACCATCCCAACAGTTAGAGATTACGCAGCAACCACTGGCTCCTTTTCAAAGCATCCGAATCCTATAATCCCAGTAATTCTTGCGAATGGGATCATACTTATCCTTCAGCAACGTAAGCATCTTGACGGCGTCCGCCTTCCGCTTCTCCTCCGTACCCTTCTCGTCTTCCGCCTCTTCCGCATACACATCCGCCAGCCACTCCACAGCCAAACTACTCCTAACCTGATACTTCACACCCCCATCAGCCTCCACCTCTTCCAAAATAAACTTCGATGCAAACCCTTCAAGTTCAGCCATTGATTTACCAGCAGCTCTTAAAACACCGCGCGCATAGGCCCACGGACATCTATTCTCAGGAGCAAGGAGAACTTTGTTCTTGGCATATTCAATCTCAGCCATGATGAGGTCTTCATCCACGACGTCAAGGCTTCCCTTGTAGCCGCCCTTTTCGTC